CCAATGCTCTAACCACTAAGCCAAACTGACCAGGGTGAAATAATGATTTTTTTAAAAGACTCAGTCTAAGCTGTTGGAGTTGGGGAAAGGTTGTGGGCCGGGTTGTGGGGTAGAAGGATTAAGCGAAAAAGGAAAACCTCATGGCTATGGACAACAGTGTGGTGACTGCCCAGGGTGGGGGCAGGGGTGGAAGAGGGTACAGGGGAGATAAATGGTGATGGACGGAGACTTGACTTGGGGTGGTGAACACAATACAGTGTGCAAATGATGTGTTGTAAAATTGTGCACCTGAAACCAATATACTTTTGTTAACCAGTGTCACCCCAATAAATTCAGTAAAAGGGGAAAAAAATTACAAAACTTAGTCTCAAAGTTAATTTCAAATATAACAGTTTTCTTCATAAATAAAGTATATGAAAAAATATTAAATAATTCCAAATTTCTGTGTATTCTACAAATACTTTACAAGTCCAAGGGCTTCCTATGACAATATACGGCATTATATACTGTTCACTGGTCAACAGACAAAAAGAAATTAATTGAAGCTAAAATAAAACATATATCTTCTACCAGAAAAAAAAGGGAATTGAATCAGCAGGCACAAACAAATGGAAATTATTAGAAGACCTTTATTTAAAGATTGGTTACACATAAAACATAGTTCCCTATTTTTCATATACTTTGCCTTATAAAAGAATACCATAAACTCTATAGCTCATTAATCTAGATCAGGTGTCAGCCCACTTTTTCTGAAAAGAGCCAATAGTAGCAGCGCTGGCCGGTGTGGCTCAGTGGTTAGATCGTCAGCCCGCAGACCGAAGGGTCATGGATTCGATTCTGCTCAAGAGTACGTGCCTGGGTTGCAGATTTGATCCCTGGCCCTTCAGGGTCACGAGGGAGGCAACCAATCAATGTCTCTCTCTCACACTGATGTTCCTCTCTCTTTCCCTCCTGCCCTTCCACTCTATCTAAGAAAAAAAAATCGATGGAAGAATATCCTCAGGTGAGGATTAAAAAATACAAAGAGCCCACGGTAAACGGTTCAGGCCAGCGGGCCGGTGGCACGCACTGCACCACACACTGCCGCACTGTCAGCACAACACCACAGACGCCAGTGGATGGCGCTGTGCTCCAAGAGACCTGGATTACGGTCACTGAAATCTCAAGTCCATATAATTTTCACACATGGCAAACTAGTCTTCTTCTGTTGATTTCTTTCAGTAATTTGTGCAAGGACAACCTTGGACTGTGGGCCGTACAGAAACAGGCAGAGCTGGGCCCGGCCCACTGGCTACAGTTTGCCAACCCCTGATCTAGAAACACATGAAAAGTAGTGACTAGAAATACTCCCCAAATACTCTTTTTTATAATAGAATATAAATACTGCCTTTTTACTAGAACATTACTTTTCCAATAGATTAAGCTCTAAAACAGCATTACTTGCCAAAATAACAATTGAACCAAAACTAAGAAAGCTAACATGAAGTATTCTTAATATTTCAAAGCCACAAAAAAAGAGGTAATGAAACAGAAAAATGTTATTTTACTACACATTCCCAGGTCATAAGTTTCACATGGAATTAAATCTGTTCTACATAATATCTGCCCATTTAACTATAATGGATATATTAGTAATATTTATGCCAAATTGAGAATGTCATTCACACCACATATAAAATTGTATTAAAATGTGGCCACAAGAATTGTGGCATTTTCATAGTTAAAGCTGTTCCCTATGGTAATACCAAAATGTCTTGGAAGAATCGCAGGACACAGTCATGGAAACTGAATCAGAGCTGCAGTTTGCTTTAAACGAGTTAAGCTCACGAGCAAGTCACATAAGCCGGCATTTCCCCAAGTCTGTTCTGCATCCACACGTGATTCATTAACACACCAGGATCCATGGCCAAATGAGTATGAGAAATGCTACACACTATATACATTTCCAGAAGATTTATAATGCACATAAGCATAGCTCGGGTTCTGAGAAGTGCTGCCGTAAAGAAATCCTTTTGTATAACCTAGCACTCTCCAAACTCACTCAATTATTTTTTCTCTACAGTACTTATTAACATCTCCAAAAAACTAAAATTCCTTAAAACACACTTTAGAAAATTTTCTCATCAGTAGGGATCAGATAAATACTCCTTCAGGTCCTTAATTTAAAAATACTGTGAGACTATTTCTAAGTAATAACTTTGTGAAAGCTGTTCAAGTATTAAATTCAGGTTCACAAACCTGAACCCTGGATCAAAGGTACTTGTCTATGCTCACTCCGACCCTCCTCTCTCCGAACACTTATTTTTGGATTGAAATAATCTCTCTAACCTTCTAGATTCAACTCCTTAAATGGGAAATAGAATAATGCTCCATCATCCTTGTTTCTTCAACACCTAGCCGAGAACCTGGATCATTAAATGGTTTGGGGATTGTATTTTTTTGTTGTTGTTGCTTTTGCTATTGTTTTTATTCTAATCATCTCCTACCTGACTACCTATAACCACTCTTACCTTCTCCTACTGCCTCTCTATACAAATGTGATCGCATGTCCTGCTCCTCAAAACATCCATCTCCCACCGCCTGAGATGGAAACCAAATTTCTTCGGCTAGGCCTGAAGGATCTAACCTCTGCTCAGCCCCTCCAGCTTCATCTCATATCTCTCCACTTTCTACACCTGAACCACACAAAGCTGGCAGGGGACTGGGCATGCCAGGGTCGGGGACATGGGTGCAATTCTAAGTAGGTGGCCATGAGAGGCATGACTTAAAGGTTACAATAGACTTTGGCAAGTGAGAGGGAATAAAAAAAATAAGTACCCCTAACATATGAGCGTGGAGGACATGTTGGAAATGGTGGCCGAAGGGGCTCAAGGGCAACTGGCATGGTGGAGAACAGATGAGGCCAGGATGTAGTGCGGGCCTGGCAGAGCGAGGCCAGGGCTGGCACCCAGTGCAGTCAGCTCCCACGCACACCTCTCCAGCCCAGCCCGCCTCTCCAGCCCAGCCCGCCTCTCCAGCCCAGCCCGCCTCTCCAGCCTAGCCCGCCTCTCCAGCCTAGTTAGCCTCTCCAGCCTAGTTAGCCTCTCCAGCCCAGCCCGCCTCTCCAGCCTAGTTAGCCTCTCCAGCCTAGTTAGCCTCTCCAGCCCAGCCCGCCTCTCCAGCCTAGCCCGCCTCTCCAGCCTAGTTAGCCTCTCCAGCCTAGCCCGCCTCTCCAGCCTAGGTAGCCTCTCCAGCCTAGTTAGCCTCTCCAGCCTAGCCTGCCTCTCCAGCCTAGTTAGCCTCTCCAGCCTAGCCCGCCTCTCCAGCCTAGCCCACCTCTCCAGCCTAGGTAGCCTCTCCAGCCTAGGTAGCCTCTCCAGCCTAGGTCTCTCCCCTGAGGCCCAGTCTCCAATTCCAAACACACATTCAACTGTGCCTCTCGGATGTCCTACTGGCAGGTTTATCCTCAGGTCTTAATTCCCTCCACAAATCTGTTTCTCCTCCATTCTTCCCTCTCTCAGTAAACAGCAGTGACCTCTACACACTGGCAAAAGCCAGACACCGAAAGCTATCCCACTAAACAGAGAGCAGACATAAAATTCTAACAGAACATTCTCCACGCCAAGTTACTATGTCTTTTGATCAGCACAATGAATTTGGTGAAGAGCCTAGCCCTGTGTATGTAGTGCTGTACAGGTACTGCTACCCGCACATGTCACACCCAGGAAGGACATCACCCGCATCAGATCCCGAGTCGGGAAAGTAACATTCCCACGGGGGCATGGGTTGGGGAAGTGGGTCATTAAACCTGGGTATCCTCTGAAACGTCAAGTGTCCGTCTAAGACCACGCCCCTAACAGCAGCTTCAGGCTGGGCGGCAGCAGTCCTAGAGGAGGAGTCCTCCTTTGACGGTAAGTCTAAAAGGGAGAAGAGGCCCAGTGGAAGAGAAAACAAGAACTCCTATATTCAAAAGAAGGGGAAAATCATGCACAAACGAACCCTATCTTTCTCCTTAACGTATTCACCGTTACATATTTTATGTATATATATAAATTCACCAAACCTGTATTCAGCTAACTTGCAACTTCATTCTAACTAAAATGTAGAGTAAACTCAAAAGGTATGAAGGGAAAAAGACATTCTGAAGTAAAACAAATCCACAGACTACGTAAAGCACAAGAACTTCACACTTACAGGAGCACCTTCGTCCTAAGTCAGAGCCTCGTTACTCTTACTTTGCTCCCAATTCTAACTACAATATCTGTTTTCAAGACAGGAGCAGTTCAAGAACATTAAATTCAGGCGGTAGGGCAAGCGGTGCTATACAGAGGTACACTGACAGGCAACAAGAGATGAGCAGACAGCCTCACTGCCAAGGATGATGGGCAAGAACCACAGCAGACCTGGGGACGCAGGCCGACGTGCAGGAGAATCTGGGCTAACCTCGTGTGTGTCTTACAGGCTTAGAGAGATGGCTCTAAGGTTAACATTGAGCCAACATGGAAAATTCTACAGATTCATAATTGTGACATTTTTATTTATTTTTAATGAATTATTGGTTTGATACTGGTTAATAAAATTATATAGGTTTCAAGGATGCAATTCTATAATACATCACCTGTATATTGTATTGTGTGTTCACTATCCCAAGTCAAGTCTCCTTCCATCACCATTTATCCCATTACCTCTTCTACCTCCTCCATCACTGCTCCCTCTGGCAATCACCTCTGGCAAAGACTCATGGTGTCCATCCGTCTTTCTTTCTTTTTCTTTGCTTAATCCCTTTTTCATATGAAAAATGTATGCCCTAACTTTTAGAAAAATATCCACAATTACTGGAATAAGAGAAGCTTTCGTTTGCAAAGAAGGATAAATCCTCAGCAATTTGAAAAACTCGGCTATCAGAACTCTTGCTTCCCTGAGGACTATGGTTAGCTGTAATTTTTACCTTCTACTTGAATGCTTTCAAATGTTTTATCTCTGACTACTTAAATCAGCATATCATAAAATAACCCTTGATGTTAACAGAGGGTGAAGTGTGCCCAACACTGGACATTCACCTGGGGACTCTGTAAAATGCTGGTGCTCAAATTCCCCAACCAGCAGTTCAGATTTAATCAGCCTCGAGAGAGCCTGGCATCAGACCTGTTCAAGTGGTCCAGGAGAGTCTGATCTTCAGCCAGGGTTGGAACCACTTGGATAAACAGTTTTCTGCGTGACATTTTTAAGAATTGCTAAGGAATCTTTAAGAGGGATACAGTATGCAGCATTTCCCAAATTTGTCTTCAAATCTCTTTTTTCATAGAGCTTCTTAGACTCCTGACTTAATAATTCTTCAGCTGAAAATCAAGGTAAATGTTAAGTTTAAACATTAAGAATCAAACGATGCCACTTTCCAAAATTTATAAAAGCTCTAATAGGCTTAAGAGGTGGGGAGGTGAGAGAGGGGAGAAGGGGACTTACTTTTACGCTGCTACACATTTTTGTTACATTACAAAAATTCCAAATGAAACACTTTAATTTTTACTAAAAAACTCCACAGTTCATTGAAATGATGCTTATGTTAAACCTGTGACTTAAAAGCATTCATGCATTGTAAAAGCTAATTCCAAAAGTAAATTCATGCTGCCCTCTAATGGTTCAAAATAAATATTTTTACCTGTACTGCACCAGAAATACTGATGATGAATAATTTTATTATTTTATAAATGGGAAAATTACATTAGGTAACATAGAAGGAAAATACTTTTTGGGTGTCACTGAGTGCAAATGATTAATTAAAATTGCTATATTCACCCAGCCAATACGGCTTACTGGTTGAGCATCAACACATGTACCAAGAGGTTGCCGGTTCGATTCCCAGTCAGGCTACATGCCCAGGTTGTGGGCCAAATCCCCAGTGTGGGATATACAGGGGGCAGCCAGTCGATGTTCTCTCTCATCAATGTTTCTCTCTCTCTCTCCCTCCCCCTTACTCTCTCTCTCTAAAATCAATAAAGAAAAAAAAAGACTATATTCATGTTTAAAATTTTTTTTAATTAGCAAGCCATTTTCATCCAACTACTGTGTTTGCCTATGCATGTGAAAAGCAAAAGAAAAATACACACCACTTCTGTGCATTCTACAGCTGCTACCTCTCTTCAGCTTCTCTCCAAATGCCTATGGCAGTACTCTTCAAACATAATACGCAGACCCTGTCAAATAATTTTTTTTTTTTAAGTCTGCCTTGCCAAAGCAAGGCCACCAAAAATTTGGTTGCCTCCCACACGAAAAAAATGGGAGCGAGAGAGAACATAAAGAATTTTTTAAACTATGTATATGCTTGCACAATAATTACACTTAAAATTTTAATTAACATCAAAAATTTTTCATTAGAAGCTTAAATATTTCCAAAGGATGTAGTTTCTAGTTTACTGTAAGTACTGACATTTTAAAATAAAAATGTATGTCACTACTTTATATGTATCCAAAGGAATCTAAATATGGTAGCAAGATGACATCTCTCCTCATCTACTTCAAAAATACCTAAACTCTGTTAAAGATACCAGGAATTTTACATCATTGACTTTATGCTTTTTTTTTTTTTTTTTTTTTTTTTTTTAGTACATGCCCCTAGCGGGAACCAAACCCAGGACTCTCTGGTCCACAGGCCAAAGCTCCAACTGCTGAGCCAAACCAGCCAGGGCTAACTTTACTCTTGAACTTGCATTTTATTCCACTCTCTCCATAGAATTTTATCCCAATGTTATATTTTACACCAGAAAGTCTTTACTGCTCACTCTATCATTAGTCTATGTATCAAAAATATGGATATTAATTAAAAATTTCAGAAGTTTATATCTCCTGCGACCACAAGCATATGTTTTTTAAAATGTGGAATTATCCATTATTGCAATTATTAGCAGATAATTAATGGAACAACATAAATATAAATTTTGATAATTTTTAGTGGCATGCTTCCTAGTAAGATGAACAGAGCTTTTAAAATATGTATATTGTATCTACAAAATATTTCTTAGTGCTAAAATGAGATAGGTTCTCAATTTAATTCTTATTTCAGTTTTCTAGGTAGGTATAACCACTGAAAAACGTAATTCACGTTAAAAAGTAAATCAGCCCTGGCAGGTTTGGCTCAGTGGTTAGAGTGTCGGCTCTCGGACCAAAGAGTCGCAGATTTGATTTCAGTCAAGGGCATGTACCTCGGTTGCGGTTCATCCTCCCTGGCCCTGATTGGGGTCATGCAGGAGGCAACCAGTCAATGTGTCTCTCTCACATCGATGTTTCTCTCTCTCCCCCTCACACTCTATTTGAAGATAAATGGAAAAATATTCCCAGGTGAGGATTAAAATAAAGAAGCAGCCCTGGCCAGTTTGGCTCAGTGGTTAGAGCGTCGGCCTGCGGTCCAGAGAGACCCGGGTTCGGTTCCCGCTAAGGGCGCGTACCTCGGTTGCAGTTTGTCCCCGGCCCTGGTTGGTCGTGCGGGTGGCAGCCACTCGATGTGTCCCTTTCACGTCGATGTTTCTCTCTCTCTCTCTCGTCCCCTCTCTCCCTCCCACTCTGTCTGAACAAAAAATGGAAAAATGTCCTCAGGTGAGGATAAAAAAAAAAAAAGAAGCAAATCACCCCTGTGGTTTGTAAAAGCAAAGGTTTTTTCCTACGTCACAACTTAACAATGTGATCGATCTACCATCAGAAATTATTTTTAATGCTGAGGCCACTGACAACTTGATTAGGTCCTCTTGCAATTTGCTGAAAGCAAAGAACTCGAAACCACCTGACTTGCAACAGGATGTGTTACACATTGGTTACAATCATTCAGTTTCTCAATTTGTAGGAAGTAATCCGAAAAGGCATTCCTAAAACTTATCAAATGACTATTTATTACATTAGTTATTCTTACACTTCTTAAATATGGTATCCTCAGAAAGGGTAGAGAAATAAAAATATTAATTCAATACCTGACAGGTGATAACAGTGTTTGTCTTATAAAATGTTTTTATGTTGCCATGCATTTCAAATATATGTTCGCCATAACTTTGGAGCAGCAGATGGCCAACACCCAATAGCAAATCAGGCTCAGAAAAAGGCCTCACTTTGCTTCTCAAGTCAACTGTACATTGGGCTTAAAAGAAAGAAAAGATTTTTAATTTGTTTCATAAAGCGAGACCCAACTATAGGCTATATACGAGAGACATACTGAAAACAGAGAAAGGCTAAAGATAAAAGGATAAACAAAGGTATACTAGGCTAATGAAAACATGAATCTTATCCTGGTTCCAAAATAGAATTCCAGCTAAAATGCGTGAATGTCACAGGACACTTTTTAATGCTAAAAATCTGCTATTCTCAAATAACATGTAACAGTTACGAATACCTATGTGCCAACTAACACAGCAACCACCCTTATGAAGCGAAAGCTACAGGAGATGCGAGGAGCTAGAGAGAGGCACACCCACGATCGCCAAGACGTTTTGGCACACCTCTCTCAGTAAGACAGATCACGGGGGTTAGGGGGGTAAAGACACAGAAGACCTTAGCAACAAGCAGAAATTTTCCCACAAAACATAGAAATTATTTTGTTCCAGCAACTTCAAGTTGCACTAATTGTTAGATTCTACACCGCAGCTGTTAAGGCCCATCTTACCCGTGGCGCCTGGACCAAGGCACTGCCCCGCCACTCTCCCGCCTTCAGTGATCTTTCTGCGGCTTCTCCGTCCGCTCACTGAGCCCATTCGTGTCGACCCCTCCTGAAGCACACCCACAACATGTACGCTCTCCCGGGGCTGACTAAACTCGCTTCTATTAGTAAAAAATGTGAAATTAAAGCTGTGGAGGGAAAACCGTCCCTCTCCATCACCCCTGCTGGTGTCTGGAACCACCTCCCTTCGCTGCTCCTGAAAGGAGGCTCACTCCTCTAGAGCAGGTGGCACTGAGGAACACTGTCCCTTGGAAGCCAAAGTCAGAACTATTCACACGGTACGCTGTTGACGGTCATTAAAATGAGCTTTTATGAGCAGTCTTCAAAACTGCCACCATTTACCAAAATCTTTCTATGAGAAAATACTCAGCGTTCTAAGTTTCCAGTAACCAACATAAAAACAAACTTTGGAACATGGCCTGTTTTGGTGATCACCCAAAATCCTGCCCAGAACTTATTAGACACAATATTCCATTTCCAAGAAATGCTGTTATTGCAGAAGCTTCTATAAACATGTAACATAAACACTCATTATTAATAGTCACAGCACTTGCATTAAGAACCATACTCAAATTTCTTTCTAAGTCCAATTAACATTAAAAACTTCAGAAAGCTTTCACTAAAAATCAAGAGCTCAAGAAAATACATAAACAGTGACTGAATATTAAGGAAAAACACCTGGTGTATAATATTGTTTTTCTATTCAGAGAGGAACTCTCCAAACCAGAGGGAAAAATACAAAATTTAGAATTTTTCAAATTTCTCAGAGCTAATACTAGCAACTTGTATAAAATTTTCTTCACACAACTCTAAAAGCAGAACGCCCACTCATCCACGTCCCACGCCACATTAAAAAGCATTTCATAAACTGAACTGTCACTCACCCTGGTTTTTTAAACACAAGTCAATAAGCACTGCTGGAGCAACAGTTTGCTCAACTGAACAAAAAGGCATCTGTGAGATAATGCTGCTCAACCACAAGTAAAGTCAACCAAACATTATGCTAGTTTTTCACAGCTTTAAACAATGGGTTAATAAAATTAGTCTCAATTAAAACAATAGAAGATGCTGCTTATTTTCCCTAATCCAGGATAAAAATTGTTGAAATTTTAAAACAAATTTAGGACTGGAACGATAGGTCACCTCTTGCTACACAAACAAACATACAAATAAAAATGATGAATTTAGCATTTACCACATTAGGTTATGGCTGCATTTTCCTAAAGAATCGTGACACACCTGGCTGGGAGGAGAATTTACAATAATTATTTTCCTGGTGCTACTTTCCTTTTCTTCACCTTTATGGAGAATAATTTCTTAAACTTTGAACATAGAGAACGCAAAAAAAGATCTCAAAAGCATTCTTAAAATTTGGCAAATAAAATACGTCACCCTGGACAGTCTAGCTCAGTGGTTAGAGTGTTGGCCTGCTGACCTAAGGGTCTCAGGTCTGATTCCTAGTCAAGGGCACGTACGTGGGTTGCAGGTTCAATTCCCAGCCCCGGTTGGAGTCATGCAGGAGGAAACTAATTGATGTGTCTCTCTCACATCAATGTTTCTCTCTCTCTCCCTCTCTCCTCTCTCCCTTTCTCTCTATCTAAAAATCAACGGGAAAATATTCTTGGGTGAGGATTAACAAAAAAATAAGACAGTCAACCTAAAATTATAAAAAGTCATATGCTTTTTATTTAAGAATTGGCTTTGTGCCCTGGCCGGTTTGGATCAGCAGTTAGAGTGGTGGCCCGTGGACCAGAGTCCTGGGTTAGGTTCCCACTAAGGGCACGTACCTCGGTTGCAGTTTGTTCCCAGCCGCGGTTGAGGTCGTGTAGGCGGCAACCAGTCAGTGTCTCTATCTCTCCCATCGCTGTTTCTCTCTTCCTCCCTCTCTCCCTCCCACTCTATCTGAAGATGAATGCAAAAGTGTCCTCGGATGAGAATTAAAAAATAATAATAATTGGTTTTGTTTACTTCTGTGTTTGTTTCTGTTTTAGGGAAATATGAAAAATGTTAAATTTGTATGAGATAAAAAAAAGTTTTTTATTTAATAAACACACCAAGTGTTTTAAACAGTCTCTAACCCAAATTAAGTGGTGAGGGTTGGTACTCCTGACTGCCTGTCAGAGCAGAACAAGAGTAAGGAGCCTGAATCCAAACTCAGCAGCAAAAAAAACAGACTAGCCATACCCTGGGGGTGGAAGCAAAAAAGGTGAAGGACTGAAAGTGAAATGAATGGCTACCAGGCTTTGACAGGTAGAAGAGATGTGTGTATAAAACGCTGCAATTACATAACAGGCACACATTTTCTGAGGCTCGTGTTTAAATTTCAAGTTAATAACTGTTGATGTGTACAGTACTTTTCCAAGGGAGAAAATGACTCTCTGGGCTGCGATGTCAGAATTGTTCCAGGATCAACTGAAGTCCAACAAAAGGCCAAAGCATACATATTTGTATTACAGAATCAACCAATCCTTCTATAAAGCATATACTCAGAAATTACAATAGTCTCATGGCCTGGTTTTTTTTGTTTTTGTTTTTAATTGGCTGGAAGTCAAGGTCCCAGTGCAAATACATTGATATTTAAATTCTTTTTTAAGGAACTAAAACCACTATGGTAAAGTAAGGAAATAGGCCATGTGTGGTCACAAAATTGTTATATTTAATCCTGAAAACACCACTATGAGGAAGCATAACTTACTCTCCCCACCTCACAGATGTTAACTGCTCAAATCTACACAGCTACCATTCTAATTCCAGAGTCTATAACTAGACTATATGGCCTGCACTATAATAAAGACTAACAATCAAATAACATGTACTGAGCAAAGCAGTAGCTAAGCAATTTACAGACACATGATTTCATCCTCAAACACTAAGAGATAAACATTTTAGCCCCTAGTAAGACATTTATGATGGTTTTGGCCAAATGCTTAAAAGGCAAAAATCTGATGCTCTCTTAGAAACAGTTTTAGCTTCAAATAAAATTTAATATTACAAAATGTATTTTTAAGTCAACTTAATTTATTTACATATAATGAAATGGACCTGATTTAAGCTCTTGGTTAATGAGTTTTGACATACACCCATATAGTGGCATCCACCTATATCAATGGTTCATTTTCATCTTCATTTAGCTCAAAATATTTTTCTAATATCATGATTTCTCCTTTGATCTCTGCATTTCAAAATTTGTTTAATTTCCAAGTATTCATGAAATTTTCCAAATATTTTTTATGATATTTATTTCTAATTTAATCGCTTTATGGTCAGAAACATAATTTATATTATTTAAACTCTCTTAATTTTATTGAGAATTGTCTTACAAAACACCATATCATCTCTCTTGATGACTGTCCCATGCACTGTTGAAAGAATGTATATTCTACTATTATTGGATGGAGCGTTCCCTAACCGTGATTGACAGTGTTGTTGAATTCTATACTGTCTTAGGTTGAGGTGCCATAACAAAATACCATAGACTGGGTGGCTTAAACAACATTAATTTGTTGTTTCACAGTTCTGGACACTAGAAGTCCAAGATCAAGATGCTCGCATAGTCAGCGTCCAGGGAGAGCTCTCTTCCTAGCTTGTAGATGGCAGACTTAAGGCGGCTGGGGGAAGGGGAGGTAGAATACAGAGCTAGCTGTCTGGTATCTATTCTTATAAGGCACTACTCGCATCATAAAGGTCTTACCCTCTTGGCCTTTCTAAACCTAATTACTTCCCAAAAGGCCCATACATGGGGAGTTATGGCTTCAGCATATCAACTGGGTGGGGGTGTGGGGAGAATACAATCCACTCTATAGCAGCGGCAGTAGTCATATTGCTTTTCTGTCTACTTATTCTAAGGCCTATTAGCAGGTGCATGTATATTTGGAATTGTTAGGTCTAGGTCTTCTTGCTGTTTAGAACATTTACATTTAATATAATTATCAGTATGGTTGGGTTTAAATCTACCATCTGGTTGTTTGTTTTCTATTTCTCCCATGTGTTCTTTACTCCTCTTTTCTGCCTTCTTTTAGATTACAATTTTTTATAATTCCATTTTATCTCCCCATTGCATTCTTAACTACTTTTTGCTCTGTATCAATATACATCTTTAACTTACCACAACTTCCTTTCACACATATTGTATCAGTTCATATACAATGTAAGAACCTCACCTAAGTTTTCTAGATGCTCGTGATTGTAGGATATATCTGGTTCCAGTTACTCTAACATAGCCAGAAGCATAAGCCCCCAAAATGCTTTTTCAAATAATCTGACTTTTATCTAATACT